ATGAAATTGGAGGTAGTTTGAGGATTAAATATTTTATGCTTTTTAAGCTCAAAAAAAGGGGGTCGTATTATACATGAGATCATATTATACATGAATAAATATGGTAGTTGCCAGCAGTGGCAGTGAGATACTACCTTTAGTGTTGAAGATCAACTAACTTAGCTGTAGTACAAGAAAGTCAGGTTTGAACTTTCAATGTTTGCTTTTTACCTTTATCAGAGATGAATAAGTTGCATGCCTGTAAACCCTGATACTGACATCCTATAATATAACTATAATAACAGAGTACAGGTGTGTTACTGATGAGTTCCTGTGACTAATTTCATTGTATGTTGAAGTGAACCCAACACTGGTGCCACAGCGGTCTGTGACCCTCTGAGTTTGTTGTAAAGTGATTGGTTGCTTTTCATTCCCCTAAAATAAGCCCCACCGAGCGGCTGCAGCAGCCACAAACAGACGTGAAGAGAATCTGGACTCAGACCCAGCAGAGTCTGGTTTAATATGCCGATCACATCTTCCAGACCCCCCACCCCCCTCCACTTCGTCTTTTACCTTCCCGTAACCCAGAGTACTGAAGCAGACCTGCAGTTCAACACAGAAACACTCAAGTGTCTATTAATGCCTAACAAGTATGCATGACTGCAATCAGCAGGAGATGCCGAGTCAGCCGGTGTTTGATTAAATTGTTCTGATAGAGAATCAGTTGTGCAATGCTGCTGCGCAGAGTGTGTCGACTTCAAGGGCAGGAGAGAAACCCACTGCAGGGAGCGAGGAAACCCTGAAAATTTTAAATAAACTCAGTCTATCAGTAGGAATAACAAAGCTGCTTCAGCACCGGACTGACTCCATGTTTAATGAGGCGAACAGCAACTGGACCGCTCTACAACAAACTGCAGTCCGTTTGGCACCAGGGTTGTTTCTTTTCTCCACACATCATACATTTAATACTCACTGGCCAAGTTTGATTTTAAAGTCCACKAACAGACTGGTTTCAGTGGCCTCAGGTCCCACTGGGCTCCTCAAACCAGATCTACCAGTCTATCAGCTGGTCCATCCATCTAAAAACCAATGCCTGATTAAGAATTCATGGAGCACCAGCAGAGCTGAATCAGTCTGAGAAACCGGCCCGTCGCCAATCTCAGCCTCTCTGTTCCTCCTCTCCCCCCTCCCTACCCCCCTGTCTCCCCCCACTCCTCCTCTTATAGGACAAGGAGGTGAACCTGGAACAGGTGCATCGTCGTATGAACAGTCTTTTGGACGAGGACTTGGCCCACAAGCAGATCCCCGGCCCCTCTATCGAGATCTCTGCGCTGGACATCGGCAGCATGCAGCCCAGCCAGGCCTCTCTGGTACCGGGCCCGGAGTCCAGGCGGGACTACCCGCCCTCGGGCCTCGCTGTGACCACCTACCTGCCCGGGGAGGGGGTGCCGCCTCCCCATCTTCCCCATCCTCACCATGGGGGGACCCTAGGCAGGACACTTCCCCCATCCCAGGTCCCTGGCAGCACCACGTTGCCCCCACACCACCCACTCAGCAGCACCATGCAGTGCAAACACCGGGCCCCCAACGGGGGGTTGTTCCGGCAGAGTCCTGGCAAGATACCAATGTCCTACCAGGCAGTCTCCGGAGGACCCATACCCGAAGCCATTGACCCCACCCACAGTACATCCATATAGACAGAACCTGTGGATGTGAGGCGGGTCGGGAAGCTTCACAAGGAAAAAAACACAAATGTACAAAGTCAAAAAAGAGATTTTTTTATATCGAACCAACTGTTCCGAAAAAAAAAAAAAAAAAAAAAAACTAAAAATTTGAGTCCTTGGGCGAGTTGGCGGCTGTAATTTTTCTCCTGTAGATTTCTGTAAATATCAAGACAACAAGTGAAGTCAAAGTGTATTTTGAATATTCTCAATTTTTGAAGTTGAGTTATAAAAACAAAAACAGATAAAAACATAAATATAAATATATATATAAATACATTGACGAAAAGTTCAGACTGTTTGAACGGCTTTGTAAATTTTCTTCAATTAAAACAATGACGCGGATTTCATTGTGATTGTTTTCTAAGTGCCGAAATCAAACGATGTCTCTCCACAACTCATCGATGTACGACGACTACCCATGATGCACTGCTGCGGGGCATTTTTTTAGTGTCGGGACACCTACTGTTATGCACCTCTGTTACCAAACCTATAAACAGTATATCTTCAGCATCGGATGGAAATGATCACTTTTTTCTCCCCATTTGTATTAAAAGATAAAACCATCCTCGGATTTTTGTCAAACTAAAATCGACTTTTTGTTCATGTTCAATGTAAAACTRCTTGGATTTGTGTTCCTCTCACAGCTGAATGGATTGTTTTTAACGTTGCATCAGTTTTCAAAGGAAGAAAGCCCAGAAGAGCAGGGAGGAGAGTCTTAGGCCATGTTCACTGAGTTTGGGTTTAAATCAAGCAAGGAATGCAGYAAATGTTGCTCTGCAGTGAATGAACCAAAAAATAACTGATTCACACATTTTTAAAGTGAGGTTTTGGTAAATAAAGAAAACAAACCTTTAAACACAGATCCCCTTATAGCAGCTTAAACCTGTTTGGGTTAAAATGCGCGTGGAACMTTCAGCTTCATTTTGACCCCAGGGCAGCAGGAGGGTTCAGTTTTTTCAGGACTAACGACTAAAAATTGGCCAAAAAAAGATGAAACAAGAATTCCAGATGCTTTTTACTGATTTTCAGCAATATTTCACCTTCAGAGTCAACATTACCTGTTTTTACGGTTTAAATATCCAAATGTTCAGGTGCCAGGAGCTATGCCTTTTAATATTTAACTTTTGTACTTTTTTAAAATATTTAACTTAATTCATGTTTTTATGTTTTAGTAAGATGAATAGGGATGTTTAATTTGTGCTAACTTTAGCTTTGAAGTTTTTGTTTCAATAATTTTGACTCAAACAGTTCTGCAGCTCAATGGGCCTCATGCAAGAACCGTTCGTATTCACAGATTTGTTCTTAAGTTGTGCGTACGAGTGATTTAGGAGAATTTGTGG